TGTGTATTCGTACAGATACAGATGCATGAATCCACTACGCTCAGAGCCCCACAAGAATCGAAACGCGTTCTTGCTTTCTGCTTCAATATTCCGAAAGAGGTAATTCGCATTCTGCCACACAGAATTCGTTTCATGTATTAAGGTCGTGGCACGTCCCGTATGCACATCAGTACGAAGAAATGTGACTTCTGTCTGCAATCGGTTAAATATTTGTACTCCAAGTGACTGATCTGGCAGCCAATTGACTCTAGAGATATAATAATCCATATCTTCAATCGCAAAGTCCATCCAAACAGGTGTGGGAATTGCATGAGACTGTTTCTGAGAGTGCAAGTCATACTCTACATGTGGCAATCGAATAACCCCCAGTCTTCTCTTTGGGTTCGCAGCACCTGCGAACGGATAGCGGTGATCTTCTTGTGCGGCGTCTCCCGTCGGCACACTGCTACCCGAATGCATAATTCTAAACTTTGGGATGTGACTCTCATCAATCTCTTCAAATGCAAGACGCGTGCTGTCGGGTGACCACCAAAATCCGCGAAACCGACTCAATTCCTCCTGGGTCAAAAAACATGCGAGTCCATTCGATTTGCCATCGACACCTCGAGCTCCTTGCGTCAACTGTACAGCCTGCTGTCCGCCCTCTGTCACTTGGCTTGAAATCACGTATAATTCCTTGTCCTGTACAAAAGCAACCCACCTCCCGTCGGGCGAAAACTGTGGATCAATGGCGCCCCCAGCAACACAAGTTGATTTTTTGTCAAAAAGAAGCTTTAGCTCGGCTCCTGGCTGCTCTTGCAAGTAAATATTACCTTGAAGTGGATATAACAGGCGATGAGAGAGAGGTGTTGGATTCCACGCGTATGATGTGATTCCGACCCCCATCTGGCGTTGGCGCTCGCGTCGCAACTTCTCCACTAGACTGAGATTTCCCTCAGTATTTCCCTGATCAGGAGGGGCCGCCAAGAGGTATACACGACGTGAGGCCACGTCCAGTGCGTACAGTTGGCGGGACAGACTGCTCTGCGACCCTGAGGCATGCAAGAAGGCCACAATTCGGCCATCCGGACTAAAGCTCACACTAGCAGGCGTACAAAGTCCTGGTGCCGGCATCTTGGCAACATCCTCGAGCGAAATGAGCTCACGCGCCACCGTCATATCTGAAATGGATACGACCAAACCAGGATTTTTTAAATTAAACTCGATTCTTTTTATTTTAGCATAACGTAATTTTGTCAAACTGTGCTAAGATAGCATTTAGCTCGCTGGTAAAGTTCTGAAGTGGATGCAATAAGGTGTAATTGTATAGATTCATTAAGCATTGCAGTAGATACTTTACCTGGACGTCAACAATATTCATATCTGGGACACAGTGATCATTAGCCAAGTCATGACCTTAATGTATCAATTAAATAAACACAGCATGCTTACCTAAATCCGCATCAGCTTTCTGCAATTCATACAGCAAAGCTTCTTGACGCTGCTTGACATCCAGCTCAAATACTTTCTTGCGTAGCCTCGATAAAGCGAGTCCTTCAAAGTCGGTAATTTGTAGTGCTTGTTCAATATCAGTGGTTTCAGACTTCGCTGGAAACAAGTTACACTCCAATTGATACGCTTCATATTCTTTTCGGTGATCAATTGCTTGCACGTTTCGACTTCGTTGTTGCTGCTGTATCATGATTCAAAAAGCGACACGGTAATAACCTTGATACTAATTTATGCATATCCTGGAATTCTACCTGTAAAAGGCTATCGTTGTCGGTGTCATCTTGCGGTTGTTCATTATCATCAAACTGAAGCTTCTCCTCTTCTTGTTGACTACATTGCTAGCTCACAACACAGCTGGGTAGGCTCAAATCGCAATTATACAGCGTCGAATGATCACATACCAGTTTATTTAACGCATCCCGCGTTTCCTGCTCATGAGCCTTTTTCCATGCTCGCAAATCGTCGATGGCGTGACTCATCTAAAAATGATTTGGTAAGATAGACGAAAGTACACAAGATATCTATATGCGAAACGTGTACATCTTGTAATGTCTTCGTGTCCACCAGCGAGCTCTCAAGATCAAGCGTTTCAACTGCACTCTGAAGATCTTGGTCATCATAGTTGCCAAGCAAAATGGTTCTGCCGGCTGCACCCCTATCATCAAATCTTTTGGCTTGAGCAATAGTCTTTTCAGGGGATTTTTTGAAATTTTTCGGCTCTAGATGCTTCATTGAGCTTTTTGTCGATGCGGAAGAAACGGCTCTTGTTGCTTGATTGTGTTCAATTTCTTCGTTACCTCTGGATGTCAATTCGAGAACCACCAGTTTTGAACTGTCTTTGAATGGTGTTAAGGAAGCATTTGCAGGTACACTGATCGGACTGGTCAGCGTCGGCACTTGTCGAGGATGCCGTCGATTCTGCGATGGAAACAACTTCCGCTTCAAAGATGCAAACTTACTCGTAGCTCCAGGTACAAAGACTCGCTGTTCGAAAGTGGATTGCGAGTGCTTCCAAAATGAAGTACAATCTGTTTGATTGTTGTGATTCTCTGCTTCGCCAGCACCTTTTTGACCATCATCTCTACTTGATCGAAACAACATCTATCATAGAAATGTCAATCCACTCATTAGTCCTTCTCAAAAGCAGCACTAAGCGATATCGCCATTCTAACTCGAATCAAACCCCTCCCTTGTCGTGTCGGCTTTGAGTCCGGTACATGTGGGTCCATCAGTGCTTGATCCATTTAGAAAGTCTTCCTAATTTTTACGTACACAATTTCGTCTTCTCTCTCTTAACATAGCATCACGTAACCGAAAAATAATTACTTAGTATAATCTTACCATAAGTCATAATAAAGACGAGGGGTCCGCAAGCTTAGACATATTGGCATGAGAGCGTCCATTTACGAGCATATAATATGATCCCTACGATCCTTTAATATTTCACTACATTTGCAAGTCTCGAGGATTCGGAATATCTATGGATGAACATAAAGGGAAATATATAGATTTTTTTACTCGTGAATCAGTGTAGCTATGCGATTATGGCAGTGAAAGATGTTGTTAAAGATTGAAAATTAGTGGATGCCTTGTGATGGCTCCTTTTGAGGTTTACCAATCCAAGGCATAGCGAACAATGAGCGTTTATATTGCTTGCAAAACTACAATACTGGAAAGTATGGATCACATCGCTATTGGCATACATTCCGATTAAACAAAGGTTGTGAGCCGCAGATAGAATCACCAGAATGAAAAGTCTACTGGATCTTTGGCTGATCAGGTGTTTGATTGCTGCCAATGTGGCCTCTGGCACCATGAAAGCTGTCCGTTCATCATTCGAGAATAGCGCTTCGACGAATGGCTAAGCTCGCAACCAAAAGGGGTAGTAACGGGGTTATACGTACCCTGGTATAAAAGGGTGGGTTGCATAAGATGGTGTGACCGTACAAATGTGTGAACCTGTTGTGAAGCATATTTATCAGGTTTTACTATTCAATCAGGAAAACCAAAGGTTGTAAATATAGGCGGCTCTGCTGCTAGTAAAACAGATAGATACATTTTCAATTTTAAACGGAAGAGTGTCTTTGCCTTGAGTTAAGGTTCTGGGTACTCTTTGTGTTAGCGAATTGCGATCCGCTTTACTCGTACTGGTTTGAGTATAGAACGTAAGGTTGGTGACCTTAGCTTAGCTTCCTCTAAGCAAAGAGTTACAGCATCTCCGCTGCAGGTAGCACATTTCTCACTCGGTTTGTGCATTTATCAATCCGATAGAGCCTCCAAATGTTGACTGACAACGCGTTCTCAGAAAGCACATCGCATATACCTTAAACGATTACTAAGTCATTCTATCAGCCTTACGTGTTTAAAACATTTACATGGTCAGACTCTTCTTCGTGTCCTGCGCACACGCCCGCACACGACACACTACTTTCCTAATTTAACCATCGGGCATCACTTGTATACAGTCGAAAGAGAAGACTTGACCCTGCGACGATGCTCTAGATCAAAACTTACATGTACCATTGGATCCTAATCAAATTTCACAATACCAGCAAGGCTGCAGCTACGTCGTCATTTTAAAATCAGATATGCCAAGCGAACGAAAGCAAATTGTAAAAACCATCTCGATTGTCTGCACATTTTCGTTCGTTTTGCTGAATACGAAAATTTCACTGACGTGGACAATCTCATGTCTTTTGTGTAGGAACATGCATAGTTTGCCTACCCTTCATATCTATTAAGTAGGTAGATTAAGTAACGAACACAACAGAATGGGGTCGTAAAGCGCATGAGCATGATCGTCATTATAAGGCCCGCAGAATACTATAATACAAAAACGCTTGGCCTGGATAGTGGTTAAATCGGCGAACACAGCAGTTTGTTTGATTGATCGCGTGACAAATACAGCCTTTCGACAACACGCCGTATGAGTTGGAAATCAAGAGTAAGCCTTCAAGGTTTTTTCGAACTGTGTTTGGGCCGCAGGATTGAATACGCTGATGTCGTTGAAGCGAAGAGAATAAAGCTGCCACTCAGAAGCTTTAAGTGTATGTAATTCTGGGAGAGGACACTGTTCACGAACAGCCCCTCAAACACAACACACACGAGGAAGCGATTTCCGAGGATAGTCCCGACTTGGAGGAACGAAGAACGAATCAAGCCCCTTAAGGCAATTTTGCAACTGAATTTATAATGACTTGTGGTTCCTAGCTACATGCAAAGCACCCCAAGGGCTCCTAGAGGTTTTACTTATAATAGCTTGGGTGCCTGATTTATAAATCAAGGGTGTCACCCTCGCCATGTACCATAAAGCCGGTAATATGATACTTTGAAGAATAACAACCTTGCCACGCAGCGTTCGAGCACAGAGTTGCTAAAAAGCACACCCAACTTGTGCTTTTTATTACCTCGTCGTGTCGTTGTTTCAGAATAATAGTAACTCCTTGTACTACAACAAAAAGCCATACTGTTCCCTCGGGGCTAAACTTGATATTAGATCGCCTTCGTTGTTCTGCGAGATTGCACCTTTACATGGTTCGAAACGGCATAGTGTTTGCCATAATTACGTTAAGCCGTTAGCAAACAGTATCCGCATAGTCTTTGGCTAAGACGAGGAAACTCATCAGCAACGTCAATATTTGACGACATGATGATGTAATCGCCAGCAAACTTTAGTAGTGGATAGGGCGAGCTGTCATTGTCAACTGGTACACCTTTTGAAGATATCTTCACTCGAAGAAATGTAATCAACTATTTTAAAAAATTAACAAGCAAACCAGGTAGCAGAGGATCAACTTTGACACCTGCGCCAAGGAAGAGGGGTCACCAGCGCAGCCATTAAGCAGAAGGCTGACAGAGGGTTTGTTGTATAATATATTCTACGTTCGAAACTTCACGCCAAGCCCGAAGTGGTGAAGAAACATATCCGAGTCCGCCTAAGGCACACAAGTAAAATTTCTTGAGAACCGCACGCGCATCCGGATTCTTCTGTTCGCAGAAGTCTTGCAAGCCTTAAAAATGAAATTGTGAGCATTGGATATTCGAAAGCGGAGCCACATTGACGTTCATAACTGAGAGTATGCAAAACCCTTTACGAGCGTCACTTTAAGACCTTTCGTTTCGGGTTCTCGATGAAATTTAATGCGATCACCGGTCAGAGTAGGAATAGGCGAGTCTACTCTGCCATATTCCCTTGTATTACTGACAGGTGTATAATATTTCATGTAATCGAGCCCGGAAAGTCGCATAAACCCAGAAACATTCAATCCATTACTCGTCTGGGTCGTGAGATTTGTCATACTTTGATGTCATAACTACCGGTATATAAGATGTTGCTTTTATTGGGTCGTCTAGAAAAGTTTGTTGCCCTGCCGACAGCCGGGAGTTTGTGGGTTGCAGCATTGTAGCAAATCAATGAGTTGGAAAATTTCAATAGACCAAGTATGCAGACTGGAATTGAGAAGTTACACCATGATATTGACGGTGACTATAAGCGATAGCATCGGGTCGTCTGTGACCGCGCCATTAATAATTACTCAACCGTTAGAGAAGAAATGCAATCTATCCATATGGTGTGAAATATTAGATCGGTAACACGCTCACTAGACTGAGGCAAACATTATGTACTCGCTCTGTGCTTTAAAATCTCCGTCACATTGGGACTTAGATCTACCCTGACTTGCACGAACGCTCTTATTCAATTTTGTAGGTATAATACCAACCAAATTGATAGCTGTGTCAACTGCACAATTGTTCGCTGCCGACGTCCGTTCGACTGCTTTGAGAGTAACGACGTTGAAGAATATGCAGTCTTTCTGTTTATTCTGGTTCGAATTTGTGCTCAAATGTTCTTGAAACGGTCAGCGAGTATTTAAACCGAATTTGCTGGATATTTTTGCACTTTTAAGTGCCGGAGAGCCACGTTGGATATCTCGATCGTTGGCGACAACGGCGCTAAGGGGCTTCATTACAAAGCATACTTTGACCGGTATGCGATCTCGATTCTGCAGCATTGTTACATATCGTCTTGAAGTAGGTCAGCTGTAGCAAAGCAATAGCCAAGTCCATTTTTTCTCGAAGAACTGTGTCGTCCTATGTCTCCGGGTTCAAGGAACATCGGGTATCAATGAAGCTTATTGATTTATGCCATTCTTCCGGTCCGTCCCGACCATGACTCGAATGAGGCCGGTCGACAGTTGACTGACCCAAAAAATCATCCGGGATAAGGTTAAAGACGCTCAAAGCAACGCTATCTATACATTCGTCCACATCCAGTCTGCAGCATATGTCCCCAAAGTATATGGAAAAAGGTCGATAAAATCTCCCCGAAACGTGGGTACATAAGGCTTATATATTATGTATAAGAATACAAATACTTCTTCAGATGTTAACTAAATCAGAAAATGACGTGTTCGTAGCTCTAGTATGTAAGCACCGATCGTTAGATCAACAACCTCGCCGAATGAAGTGTAAAAAGAACACACGGTCTCACTCCATGCCGTCTGTTAAATAATGGAGGTATAGAATCAGACAAAAAGCAGCGTGCTCCACAGCTAGCTTCTACATTTTTGTTCGTTGGTTTGCATAGAATCTACTTTGGTGGCCTCATCTCTTTAAATTCGTTTCCAGCTAGTACGTTAATTGAAGTTGCTCATACAGAAGCAAGGGAGGGTACTGCATGCCATTCATTTTAATCAATGTATATCGAATGGGCCAGAACACTCAAGAATGTA